ACTTATAACTAGTATAAAGTGGACTCGAAATAATGTGTTTGCTAATTAAGTTCATTGAACTAACTACTTGTTGAGTGTAGTTTCATTCATCATAATATGCTGTGTGTAGAATGAAGAAATATGAAGAGACTGGTGTCAGTTCAGCAGGGGTGGTAAAAGTACTCAAAAGTTATACTCGAGTAAAAGTATATAAATAAAAAATTACTCCAGTAAAAGTAGAAAGTCCTCCATTCAAACATCACTTGAGTAAAAGTACAAAAGTATCCGACTTAAAACGTAAATATTCAAATTAACTGTAAATATCAATAATTAAGCAGATCAATAATTTTGGGATTGATATGCAACGTTTTATTTGAACAAATGATAAAACTAGATACTGCAATTAAGAATTTGTTAGCTAGCTGTTTCCAAGGCACGTTTCAATATGAAATCACTTGGCTAACAATAGTAACATTAAAGCAACACTAAAGCACATAAAGCGGTCGCCCTACAGGTTGGAAGTGGCATTGTCCGTTACCGCTGTCGTAAATAATTTAGCCTACCACAGCCTACTGTCGCACGCAGCTCGCTGTTTATCCACGGTTTATCCAGCAACGGCTTTAGAGTGAACGATATCCAACTGTAACACTTGCTGTAAAGTCAAATTTGTAGTTTTCTTATGTCTCATTCGAACTACAGAAACGCGACCCGATCTGGCAAACTTACATAGTGTGGTTATAGCAGATATGGGACCACAAAGCAAAGGCAGAAGTGCCTTTCACCCTGTTACGACTTGATGAACCACTGACACGATTTTGAAAACATTATTTTAAGGTAAAACATCTTCTTTAGTGTTGCTTTAACGTCAACTCACCTCAATATGTTTTCTCAGATTTGAGGGTGAAGTTTTGAATGCTGAAATTTCATTCACCCGTGGCCGGCAAAGAAGACATTTCAGCCGATAAGAGTCTCCCTTGACTTCAGTGAATTCGAACATACCATTGAGAGATGGCCATGGGTGATCCCTGTCGGGAATCTCGGGATCATTGCTGGCAGCGAGAGCTACACCTTCACCGGTTTCTGCGGTCATCTTCAACTTCGCAATGACGATTCTACTGACTGCTATGTGAGTGTATGCTGGCAAAGAGCTTGTGCGTTCCTTTGTAGTGGAGTAAGAGTGAAAGTAGATGCAAATAAAACATATCAAGTAAAGTACAGATCCCCGAAAAAAATACTTAAGTAAAGTAACAAAGTATTTTTACTTCATTACTTACCACCACTGCAGTACAGCGTTAGTAGTGAAGCAAGTAAACTAGAACTATCATAACTAGAACCCAACGGCTCTGTTAACTAGAACCCAACGGGGCCCGGAGAAAAGACACCGGCTCCACATGGATCTTAGCCTATCGGGGCAATGATGGGTCCAGTGGCCCTAGGAGATGCTCATTATATGGGCGTAGTGCTGACAATGGGGCCGAGGAGGGCAACACACAAACACATTATGGGGCCGCATGGGAGATCACACTGGATCCATTATGTGTTTGTGTGGGACCAGTGGGTCAAAATTGGGTCAATTTATTATTTGTTTAAAGATTGCAAAACTCACTTTCAAACCACTTCAAATCTGTTAACATGGTTTTATAAATCTGAACCTGACCAAACAAAGAACACCTCAGATCAGATGATTTACTGCTTTAATGTACATGATAAAATATTTCAACTGTAAAGAAAATGACTTTAACTCGGAATGTGTAAATCAAGTTAGTTTATTGAACATCAAGATAAAAGGTCTCGAGTGCTTCGGGATGAGACGCAAGCGACGGCAGGATTTGCGGGATTGAGGCACACACACCAATCATGCAAGTGCTTTCCTTCTGAGCACATTTTTTTGTAGATACATACGAATAAAAAGAGTCAACGAATATTATATATTGAATTATTATTTAAACGTATAAAACAAATTAAATACTTAAAATTTTTATCAATTTAATAAATTGGTTGAAAATGTTTTATACAATGATGGCAGTTACCCGTAATGGTAAACCAAATCAGCTGCAAAAAAAAACTTAAAAACAAAGTGTAAATATATCTGTCACAGTTATGTTGAGTTAGATGGCTTTCATCAGTCACATGTGTTCTCTGTCTTTGTTTCCCGCCAGTCATCAGTTGTCATGGACACTCATCAGATCATCATTCACACCACGTATCATTATCACTGTGTATTTAAGTTCCTCTTTTTCCTCTGTTTGTTATCCGGTCACGTCTACCTTTAGTGTGTGTTTCTCCTGCCTGTTCGCCTGCTTATTGTCATTAAACGTCGTGTTGGAAATATAATCTTCATCTTCGTCTGTCTTCCTGCATCCACCCATGACAACAGCCTAATAAACAACAGCGGGCAACCTAACATTGAGCCCATATAATCCAGATAAACCCTGAGCATAAGCGCCACTCTTCAGCACAAAACTCAAAAACATTACAGAAACTCGTCTAAATGTTCCACATAACTGAACATTAAACATCTTTACTCATAAACTAACACTTCTCTAACTTTAAAGTTCTCTAACTTTAGAGAAAGTCTCTAACTTTACTCTCCTAAGGTTGAATTTATGTCAACAAACATGAATCATGTAGAGCTGAT